ACAGGGGCCTGTATAGCCGTCCCATGGTCCATGCCACACAGAGACCACTAGGTGCTCCTGAACCGTGTTTATGCCAACAGTCCAGACGGTTGGCAGGACTCCTGCTGGTCAATCTCCCAGAGAGCCATGGGAAACTAAACCGGTCAGCTGGCTAACAAGAGCAGCAGCCGGACTGCACTCGAAACTGACCCAAAGAGGAGGCAGGCTGATAGCAGTTGTGACATATGTGGAGTCGCCAGGTGCTGTTTCAACAACAGTAGTTAAATTCACCAGTAGGGGGCAGTACTGCGACCCTCTGTCTTCGGAGGATTAATGATCAGTGCTTCCTCTGTACCTCACATGAAAGGAGGCGCTCAGACATCTGCACGATCCTGCTTATGACCGAACGCCCCTCAGTTCTTACAGGAAGAAACGGCAGCATCAACCAAACACAATTATCGGTAATTATCACAAGTAATCATTTTGTGAATGATGTTTTGAAAATATTTAGAGATTTGCCCTGTGATTGAAGGTGGAAACCATAATTGCTGTGTCTGTGAATGTAAGCACCTTTATTCCATATGTTTTATTGCATGGCAGTACTTTGGGTGGTGAAAGGGGTTTGCAGGTATTTAGTTTCAATTAGCACAAGTTTTTGGCAGAGTTTATAATACACAGCACCAGTCTGTTGGATGACGGACTTTAAATTTCCAAAGTACCACCACACCAGTACGTCTTTTTACCTTATTTATCCACAATATCTCCTTTCTAAAAAAATTATGTAGCTTCCAAGCTCTTGCTGTCTTTGCCAACACTTAGCTTCTTCTAGGTGCTATTGCACCGCCAAAACTTTTCCCCGAACCAGAACCTTTTTCCAGAACCAGGGACTTTTGTCATGTTCACACCGCAGGAACTCGGCCTGATTGTGGTTTCTTGGAGGCAGCTCTGGTTACCCTGTTTCAGCCCTTACTTCAGACATGGACTGTGTCCAAATTCAAATGCAGCCTAGAAATTAGTTATTCGTTTGCTGAGATCCCAAGATTCATTGTGCCACCCTTCAAAGGACGCGGTCTATGTAGCCTCTTTAGGCTGTGTCCTTCGAAGGTTCACGCAATGACTCTTGGGATGTTGGCAAAAAAAATAATGCATTTCTAAGCTGCATTTGAAGGAGCCTTTGAAAAGGGATGGCCTTGCGCTGCTGTGATGCATTTGGTCATCGAATGCAGCATTAGAAGGATGCAGACTCGGTACTTTTCTTTCAAACACAAACTACTGGGGAGGTACTTACACCCATAGCTTGCTGATTGGTTGACCACAAGCACTGGTGCTAACATGGCTGAAGTTATGCAGAAGAAGCAATTTTAGTGGAGCAAAAATTGAGCAAATGGAACCATATTTGTACCCCAATTACATTTAATGCAATAATTAATACATGTTTCACTTAGGTCTCCATATTTCTACATTGTCTAATATTGCCAGTGCAGGCAATGAAACTTGCCAGCGTTTATAAGCAGGATAATTTTCATCCTATGGAAAATGAAAGATTGATCTCCTGGCCACATTTAATAAAAATCATGAACATGTTGTAGGCTATATAAGTTAAATAAAAGGCTGTGTTCCGTTTTGTAGGATCTGGGGTGAACTTCTCCAGGCTGGTGGTAAAGCCATCCTCTTGGTATTGCAAGCAATCTTTGCTTCCATTTGGGAGACAGGCATCATCCTAAGTGACTAGTAAACGGGACTTGTCCCTATCTGGAAAGGGAAGGGTGATCACCTGGATTGCAGAAACTACTGGGGGATAACCCTGCTCTCAGTGCCAGGTAAGGTCCTTGCTAGGCTCATCCTCAACAGGATCTGTGATTGCTTGCTCACCTACCAGTGACCACAGCAGTCTAGTTTTATTCCTAAGAAGTCTAGCATTGACCGCATCCTGGCACTGAGGGTTCTCAAGGAGCACAAATGCGAACATCGGCAGAGTTTCTTTGCAGACTTTGTCAATTCTCGTAAAGCATTCAACTCAGTTGATCGAGCAGCCCTGTGGGACATCCTGAGACTTCATGGGATCTCCCTGAAGTTGTTGGATGTCATGGCCGGCCTGTACACCAGTACTGTGAGTGTTGTGCAGCGTGGATGCAGAACCTCTGCATTCTTCCCAGTTGATTCTAAGTTTCGTCAGGGGTGTGTTCTTGCACCTACTCTGTTCAGTGCTTGAATTCACTGGGTGCTGGGCAAAGTCTTGGGGTCCAGCAGGGGTCCAGCAGCTATGGGGCATCTGTTGGTGAAGAAAGATTCACTGATCTTGACTTTGCCGATGATGCTGTGATCTTTGCAGAGTCAATGGAGGCTCTGATCAGGGCTCTCGAGAGACTGAGTGATGAATCTGAGTGTCTGGGCTTGCGAGTGTCTTGGATAAAAACCAAGATCCAGCCCTTTAATGACCTCTTGGGCACAGTGTGCCTGTCTGCAGAGTGAATGTCAACCACGTTGAGTGGTTCAATAACCTTGGCAGTGTCTCTGGTGATTCTTCCTATGAAGTCAGTAGATGGATTAGGAGAACATGGGGGTAAGGTCACTGGAGGTATGTGATGTTCCCCCAATATCTTTGTATGGGGATCGAAGGTCCAAGTCTTTAGAGTGTTGGTGCTCCCTGTTTTGCTGTCTGGCTGCAAGACATGGATGCTAACCAGTGACTTGAGACGAAGACTGGACTCCTTCGGTACTGTGTCTCTTTGGAGAGTCCTTGAGTACTGCTGGTTTGACTTTGTGTCAAATGAGCAGTTGCAAGAGGTGTCCTGAATGAGGTACATTACCTGCATTTTGAGGGAGTGTCAGTTATTGCACTACAGCCATGTGGCGCATTTCCCTGAGGGTGATCCGGTTCACAGGATCCTCACTGCTGAGGACCCGAACGGCTGGACCAGGCCAAGGGGATGCCCAGGTAACACCTGGCTGCAGCAGACAGAGGGTCATTTCCGGAGGGTGGGACTGGACCACATGTCCCCAACTGGGATCCCAAGCTGCTTTGTCATGTATTGGGTGTGTCAACACGCTGCACCAGTACATGCTCCCCAAACTGACCTGTTCCATTTTGATTGCGATCTGTCCCTCTAATAAATAACGAATAACTATCTAAACAACTTATCCTCACTTGTTTTGGTATGGCAATGTAGTTTCGTATGAAATTGTGTGTGAAGTTTAACTTACAAAGTTTTTGTGTCTACTATGCTTATTTAATGTCAAAGTCCCAGTTCCTGTTGTGTGGTGTGAAAGTGACACATGAAAGTGGACAGGAGCTACAAAAGTTCCAGTCAAGACTGGGACCAGGTTCTGGAACCTCTGTGTGAAAGTGCCTCCTGAGGGAGGGCTTGGGTGTTTCCCAATACCAATACCAATACCGGTCTTGCTTCCTTGCCTCCCGAACTTGGGGCACAATGAATCATGGGATTGGTCACATTTGGTAAGGATGCAACCAATGTATCCTTGATATTTGGGGCGGGGCAAGACAACTGGGGATTTTTACAGTCCTCTGTACTTCTGTTCTTGAGTATTGGAACTGGTCTTCAGCAATGGAAGATGATGTAAAACAGGTACATGGGAACACAAGTACAGTCAAGTACACATATTGAGAAACACTTCATCTCTTGCAACACTCACACGTATTACCAATACAGTAGCATTTGATGTGATCTGCTTATTCAACCAACCTTGCTCTCAGTTCTTAAAAGACCACCATATAATTAGTTGGAATTGCGTTTGTTTCTTTGATGTGATATGCAGATATGCACTAACAAGTTCTTTATCAGTATGTGGTATCACCAGGGATGGACATAACTGGTACGCAATACGCATTCACCTTTAAAAACGATACGTGCAACAATCGATTGTGGTAACAATGTAAATGCGTACTTATTTTATGTGCATTTGCTCTGCGGCAGTGTCACGTGACAAGAAAATACTTTGCATTTTAACATGTATACCGCAAATTAAGTAGAGTTAGCATATAAAGATTAAAATGCATTATATTGTGTTTTCATATCAGCGTAAATGCACATAAAATAAGTACGAATTTACATTGTTACCGCAATCGATTGTTGCACGTATCATTTTTAAAGGTGAATGCGTACTTGCGTGTTATGTCCATGGCTGGGTATCACGTTCCTTATAAGCAGTTTATCGAAGTTTATCATTTTTGTATCACTGAAATTTTATATGACGATAAGTATACAGTAGTGCTCCCTTATCCCCAGCAGATGCCTAACACTGCTAATTTTACATGTAGCCTACTTTGTTTGTTTCCTATACATACATATGATATAGTGTAATATGTAAATTAGGCACAATAGGAGATTTATGCTGGACCATTGTGCTGGACAAAGGTTCCGGGTTGGACGACGCAAGATTTCACCACACTGCTCAGAACAGCGTGCAATTTAAAACTATTTCTGGAAATTTCCATTTAATATTTTATACAGTACCGCCCCCCCCCCACCAAGGTTGACTGCGGGTAACTGAAACCACGGATGGAAGGGGAGGACACGGATGTACAGGGTTGCCAAACTTTGGGCGACAAGACAAGACAGACAAGTCTGCACATGCATTTACATGTATATAAGAGTTTTATTACCTTGTAAATAGTCAGTAGGGTTTGCAAATTACCCCAATGCTTTTGATGTAGCTAATTTTAGATTTATGATTGAATAGCATAGAACTGCCGTAAGATTTCTTGCGTGAGCATGAGATTCAGAAAGTGCGAGTGTCCCGCCAGATACGTAAGTTGGTAACCCTGACTATATAAAGTTAAATTGCCCAGTCCTCCGTTACCGCCGTGAAACCTATTCTGTTCTTCCAATTATTCAGGCATAGGGGAAAGACGCTTATATATGGGCATCCAAGGTTTCACTTTGTGTAAACTAATAAATTTGTCCATAATAGAAATGTAGAACATAAGACAAGTAAACATATATGGGGTAATTACTGCACTGATATGAAGTCCCCCCCTTGGAATTTGACAAGGGACACAGTTTGGTGTAAACGTTTATTGGTTTGAAACAAATAAAAATGACTTGCACCAGAAAACCATTGCACAGCCTTTCAGGATCCACTTGCTGAAGGAAACAAAGAATCAGTTCTTAGCAGTGGACCTTCGTACAAATACAACAGCACGATGTTTCAGTGTAAAACTGGCCTTGTTTCAGAAAGCAGGGGCCTCTTGATGATGGCAGGTCACAGATCCTGAAAGGTGTTCTAGGCTATATGGGTCTTCTCTTATTCTCTTTGAGGTTTTAAATTAAGTTAAAAAAGGAATATTAAACCAGAGGCTCTCCCTCTCATGTGCGTCCATTACAGGAGTGACATTCACTGTGAAAAGAACAGACTTAATTATTTAGCTAATTTATAAATTATGTACAAGGGGTGGAGCTTTTCATTTTACAAGTTACCAGAGGGCCTGGTAGAGTTCTGGTAGAAGGCACACAAAGGATCCTGGTCCATAGGTCAGGATGAACTCCACAGCAGACCAGCCGCAGCAGGAAAGTAGTCACACAGTCAATATTTTTTTTTTCTTTTTTTTTTTTTCGAGGGGGGGGGTGGCGGGGTGGGGTGGTGGTGGTGGTGTCAAAGTAAAGGATGCTGATGGATGTGAAAAAAAACAGTTCTGTATAGCCAGGTTTTGAGTCTGACATAATTTTCCAAATATAAATCTAAAGCTAAAAAAAGAAACAGTACATGCTGCCATTTGATATGTTCCAGTCAATTTAGAAAAAAACGAGTGGCTACTATTTTGGACTCTCATTCATTGAAAAATTCAAGTTATCTTGCTTCCAAATCGCTAGAACATTATGAACACAACACATTCTCAACAGCTGTTGAACTCAAGAGGGCAATGCAGTCATAAACAGGAAGTGGGGGAGTGCCTGCAACAGGAAGTGGGGGAGTGCCTGCAACAGGAAGTGCTTGTGGTGATGATGGTGGATGGGATCCCTCACTGGGAGCTGTCCCACTGCAAGGAGTGAGCCTCAGTCTGAATGATGCCAAGGAGCCACTGGGTCTATCTGGAGGGAAAGAGGGTGAGGACAAGGTAGGCCGGTGCCAGGCTGTAGGGTGGTCTGCGTGATCCACCGTCACAAGCCCTGTCCTGTAGTTTTATAAGCCACCTGATGGTGGTGCCCACCACTCACAGGCTGCTGAGTAGTGCCTTTGCCTCTTTACGACTCACCAGCTCCAGGATGCGCCCGTTCACTGCAGAGAGAGGAGACACACGCTGTGCAAACAGAAGAGGCCCCAACCAGGCACATTTCCGAGATGCGGGAGCTCATTCGGATTCGTCCACCTCTTCTTCAAATACCTGTTATTTAGCTGCTGCCTGTACATCTACGCAGATAGCAAATTACCCTCAAAAGCCAGGTGACGTCATGTTTTACCCAGAGCTAACCAGCAAACTGTCCCAGGTGTGACCCTCTTCTCTGAATGACAGACTAATGAGGAGACCCTGGATCGGGTCCTTTTCTTAGATGGTGGAAGGATCAGCACATTCTCCGTGCAGGTGTGAAAGCTGCAGTCTGCTGCATTCTCTAAAAATAAGTACACACACACACACACACACACACACACACGCACACACACTCACACGCACGCACACACACACACGCACACGCACACGCACACACAAGGGTAGATCCTAAGTGATGTTACCCAGCATGCAGTTCTGTGACAGGGTGCCCTCTTTCTGCAGGTGTATGACCTACATGACCACACATGGTGCAGAGCTGGACTCGGCACTCTGACTGGGGGGGGGGGGGGGGTCTAATTCTACATGCTCAGTGCTGGTATTTAAATGAGCAGCCTGAGCCGGGGCCTCCTGGGTATCAGTATGATGGCAGCCTCCCCCCCATTACCTGCTTCACCTACACTGAGATCTGTACACACTGCCCTCCTCGGTGGCTTCTTCCCCCTGCCGCCCTGCCGGACTCCCGTGGGACCCTGCTGGGGGCAAAAAGCTCTCGTGAGATGTCAATCTCCTCCTCATGGTCTTCCATTCCCCCCCCTCTCTCTCTCTCTCTCTCTCTCTCTCTCACACTGTCCTTTGCCCGGTGGCCATCCACCAGGGACACAGAGACCCCGGGAACAGGCTCCTTACACACCGGGGAGCTCAGAGCAGCTCGGGCTGCCGGGGCCAGGCGAAGCCGGTCCGCTTGCTGCACACAGTCACACAATCCCACCAACATCCACCAGAGGGCGCCAATCCCACATCATTATTCAGGCCTTAAAGCCTCAGCCTTCCACAGCCTCTATACATACATGATTCTGTAACAACTGGAGACTCACCTGGTGGTTTAGAACCACATGGGGGCCAGCCAGTAAAGGGGGGCACACTGGGGCATTATACTGGAGGGGCTGGCCCAGCAGGGGGTACCTCACATCACCTGAGGGGGTGGCAAACATGGACCCATCGAAATGTGTTCTCTAAGGCAAAACGGATTATAGACTTGTATTTAAGGAGTATGTTTAACAGAATCCAGGACATAAAACACCTGACAGGTTGACCTTTAACAAAATACACAATACACCATTCAGACTTTAAATATCTCCTTTTATTTTCCAACTGAATCTCACTTAAAGGGAAAGTGTAAGATCTTTATTATCTCCAGATAAAAGCTGACTTTGTTCTCCCAGCCAACCGGGAATAGTAATAATGATTGGTACATGACCCAGGAGGATGCTCACCCTGTCCTGGGACAAAGCCTTGGGTAAACTGGGGCATGATGGGTATGGGGACCAGGCCGGGACGGACACTCTTGATGCTGCTGATGTGGGCGGGGCCGGGTGACTGGGTGGGAGAGGAGGCGGGGCTGCCCAGCGGGGGACTGCTCTGAAGACAGAGGAAGGTACTGAGCATTTATTCAACACTCTCCCACTTTCCCCTGTTACTGGGGAACAGTGACCTTAGACACTCAGCAGAGCAGATGATATTGAAGGGAGGGGCAGTAACAACAATCAGGACAGCTACTCTACTGCAGTATTTCACAATTACCCAAGGTCCTGGGGGCTTTCAGGATAAAATGATCCAGGCTGCAATACTTTCGGTCCACCTCACTGGAAATGAGAGAGTCTGCTGTTTGACCCCTTCTGCCCCCCCCCCACCACCACCACTCGGTGGCGCTGTTACCTGCAAAGTGTCCACAGCTGCGAACTCTGTGAGTTTGGGGCCCCTCTGGTAGTCCAAGCTGTGGTGCTTGTTGCATTTCCAGTGAGGGGGCGAGTGGGGCTGAGGCTGGTGACTTGGGGGCAGGGCTAGGTGCAGCATGACCACACTGGCTGCGTGTTGGGCGGAGCCACCTGGCGAGATAGGAAACGGCACCCACATGCTTAACGAGCTTAACGCTGACGAGGCAAAAACAGCGGGAAACCTCTGATTTACGCAGTGCTCAGCCTACAAACACAGGTTATTAAACCGCAGCGGCGTCGTGATGCATCACTGGGGCCCTTAGGGACAGTCGCATCCCCCTTTCTGTGTTTACGAGTTGCGGCCGTTTAAAGCCGCATATCGTTTACCTGCAGCTTTTTTTAAATGCAATGTGTTAGCAGTAATTAATTCCCCATTTGCACAGGGAGGCGCTGGTGACTCGTGCATTATTCATGCGGCTTGGATGCCGAGCAGACACTGCAAGGACAGGGCAGACATGAACGCCTGAGCGGATGAATACTGGAATCTGCAATGTATCTAATTAAACCTGTTGGCCAAATTACAGAGTAGAAAGCAACCCCAGACTGGGCAGGGTGTCCCCGGAATGGGCAGGGCGTCCCCGGAAGGGGCAGGGTGTCCCCGGAATGGGCAGGACGTCCCCGGAAGGGGCAGGGCGTCCCCGGAAGGGGCAGGGCGTCCCCGGAAGGGGCAGGGCGTCCCCATGCAATGCCCCACCCGTGATGGGGTGCGGCTGGTGTCTACGCGATGAGAACACTGACTCTCAGAGCAGAATGTCGGATTTCTCACAATGGCCTCTGAGTCCATATCATCTGTGGATGGATGGACTTCCTGTCCCTTTTTTCCCCCCAAGTATTTAAAGCCATGCAAGCTGTTAATCGTGTCATTATCACAAAATGAAGAAATTCTCAATGTGAAGTCCCTGATGTGGATTCTTTTAATATCAGCGGGCCATTGAAGGGAACAAGGGATTCGCTTTTAATCAGCATCCCCATTTTATTAATGAAACTGTAAATTAAATCTTCAATCTCAGAGTGCGCCGGGTAGCGTGAACACGGAATATTTCTGACTGACTGCATGCATCCTTCGTTGCCCCTCAAAAGCAGCCGCAGGGAGCTCAAGCACCAGATGTATGAGTGAATAAGGACGCGCAGGAGACAAGGCGTGCAGTCTGACTCGCACACCTGCATGCTGAGTTAATGAGGCTTGTACCTGCGCGCTGCTGCTCGGGGGGGTGCTGCTGCCCGCCACAGGCTGGGGGGGTCCGCGGGAACGTCGTCGGCTCCATCTGCTGGGGACACGGCGGGAAGCCCAGCGAGGAGCTGCGGGGACACGGCGGATGGAGCTAGTGTGAGGCGCACAGGGGGGCCGGACATGCCAGGCCGCCAGAGCCTGACCAGGGAGGAAACCGACGGCAGGCTGCCTGCATGTCCTCATGGATCTTTTACTGATCGCATTTCCTGCAGGATGCCCTCCACTGATTAATATCTTACCATAAATACTATGCTTTCAACAGCCTGCGTGAAGAGCAGCGTGTAAGCAGGAGCTGTGACAGCCGTGCATGTCACTTCCTGAGCAGCCGCGTAGGCAAATGAACCAAGGCATGACGAGGGGTGTCAAAACGACGCACCTGATGGTGCTCTGCTGGGCGGCCGGCAGCACGCTGTAGTACACTTGCACGCTGGGCGAGGGCACAATCCCCTGGCCTGACTGCCCGGGAAGGACCACTGTCTGCTGGGGCACAGGCACCTGCGGGGGCAGAACAGGCCAGTTACCCCCCCCCAGCTTTCTGACAGGTGGTATGGGCCAGAGGTCACGCGAGTCAGATCCTCCTAAGTGGGCAGTGACGTTACAGGCGTGTGAAGACGCCGTGTATTAAACTCTGTGCAGACAGTTACAGATCAGACGTACCTGATAGGACGGCGCAGACGGATAGTGCAGCAGCATGCCTTGCATCTGGCTTCCCATATTGCTGGGCTGGCAGCCGGCGAGGTTCTGGCCCGGGGGAGGCTGCATCGCCACCACACTCTGGTAGCCATGGGGCTGGTTTGGCATCACAGTCTGACAGCCTGGAAGGGCGCGAGGGAGACGTGAGCAAACCAAACGACCGGCCAGCAAACGACCGGGAGCACAAAGTGAGTCACAAAAAAAAAAGACAGAGGGAGAGAACCATCCGGACACATGTGAAATGTGTACGCTTATGCGCAACCATGCCCCCTGCATCCACGGCAACTGGAGCGCGGGGGGCCGAGCGGGAGATATAATAAGCTCGTCGTGGTCCTCCTCACGGAAGGCTGTGACTGTGGGGGCCTCTGCTAGCCAATAGGAAAGGTGGGAATCAGCAGGCATCATCTCAGATGCATTGGGGTCAAGGTTACGGCGGACATCCCACAGACCGGCATGGGGGGCGGGGGGCATTTTTTCAATTTCTCCCAGCTACTTCGCCATGGCGATGGCAATCAGTCAGATGAGAAGTGGGACGAGGGAGACTGGTGGTCCTGACGGCACCCCGTTTGCTATTTTGGGACACGCCCTCCGTGTCAAACACGCTCTGCTCCGAATGAGCCGCGGTTTCACGTGCTTTTAAAGCAGGCCTCCGTCCTCTGCCGGCTTCAGCGGGGGCTTTGTACCTCCCCGGGGGATCCGCAGGATGTCCTGCACACTGCAGCCTCGCTCCACCCACCGTGGAGAACAAGTGTTTAAATGGACTGGAGCTGCACTGTACAAATCAGCCCACCTGCTCCCTAAACTGAGAGGGTGTTAAACGGCGAGCGAGAGAAAACAACGGAAAACCAGACCGGTGAGCATAAACGCTCACAACAGCTCCCGATGCTCAGATTGGAGACATCATTACACACCTAAATCAGGAAAAATTTACTGACTTATTTTTATTAATAATCAGTAAATGAATGGAGCAGCTAGTTTTTCATAAATGGTTATTGCAGTGGCCGGTTAAATATTCATGGAATTTATATGCTCATAATAATTAATGTTTTAAAAAAACTGGAGCAAAACGGAGACTCGCAAATATAGATACAGATGTGTAAGAATGGGAATACTAGGGTGAGAGAGCCAGGGGAGGCCCTGCAGGGTGGATAGGGAGACCGTGCAGTGAGGCCTTGCGGGATGGATTGGGAAGCCCTGTGAGGAGGCCTGCTGTGAGGCCCTACAGTGGGACCAGGAGGCTCTGTGAGGAGGCCTGTGGTGAGGCCCTACAGCGAGTCCCTGCGGGCTTGACCGGGAGGCCCTGCGGGGAGGCCTGTTGTGAGGCCCTGCAGTGAGTCCCTGTGGGGGGGACCAGGAAGCCCTGTGGGGAGGCCTGCTGTGAGGCCCTGCAGTGAGTCCCTGTGGGGGGGACCAGGAAGCCCTGTGGGGAGGCCTGCTGTGAGGCCCTGCAGTGAGTCCCTGCGGGGAGGAGTGAGCGGCTGAAAAAGAGACCGGTTCACTGTGAGAATGGAGTAGCTCTCAGACAGTGTCCCGGCCCCGAATCCAGCCGCTCTGTGTGCCAAAGCCATCTGCAAGCATCTGGAGCTGGGGCCACCTACCCCCCATGGTGTAAAAAACACACACACACACACACACACACACACACACACACACACACACACACACACACACACACAGTGAGCAGTCGGGACATGTCCGCAGAGGGTGCTGTTTAGGTGAGGTGACTTCAGTCGGAGGTACCTGACTGCTGGCTGGGCTGGATCAGGCTCTGGCTCTGCGACCCGCTGTAGTGCACGGGGGTGGTGGTGCGGTACGGCTGGGCTGGGTGTGAGAACTGGGCTGGAGCGCAATAGCATGCTGGCACCTGTAGGGGGAGCGGCACCCTCGAGTCAGAGTCACACGGCTTCACACGACAGTGACCAGCAGCACGTGGCAGCACTGAGCACCGCACACAGAGTGTCAGAACATCATAATGTCACTCTGATTTAAAACTATAGGTGGTGGACAAGAGCAGAACACGGCCCTGCACTGAGAATAATACCTGCTGCATGGGTGGCTGCTGCTGCATGTATCCCTGCGGAAATGGTGGCAGAGGCTGCTGCACAGGCTGTGGGGGAACACCCCCCATGTAGCCCCCTGCCTGGGGGGCATGGAGCACCAGCGGGGCTGGGTACGTGGCGGCATGGCCGTCCGGCCCCTCGGAGGACAGTTGCCGACCCAGGCTCAAGTGGCCGAACTGGGGACCCAGGCTGTCCTGAGGACACAAGGGCTGAGGGTTAGAGCCAGACTCGACATCTGGTGAAGGATCAATTATTTACAGCAGTGTGCAGCATGTTTAATTAGCCACTAGGGGATGCTAACGGGCAAAAGGGGGTCAGAAAGGAGGCTAGCAGGGCACGGGGACACTGATTGGGGGGGGGCAGCTCACTGGAAATTGACATTTACCAGGGTAATGCCCTCCTCAATGGGGAACAAGAGTGCTTTTAAAGTAGTGTTTGGTTTTGGCTCCAAAACTTTGGGCTTAATTATTTAACATAGTGAGAGACATTGAAAGCGTGTTAAGCATGTGACTGCATGCTGAGCACCGGCAGAATAAGCCAACAGTCACGGTGCACACACCATCACCAGGCCTTAACACAGATACATCAGGAGCTGAGCAACCGGATGCTCCTTTCTGAACCCAGAGGGAGGATCAGGGGGGGAGGGGAGGTGCGGTACCACAGTGTTTTGCTGGTTAGGGGGGGCAGGTAGGAGCTGAGTGGGGTACGAGATGGCCGGGCACTGGGCAGGCTGCGCTGATGGCTGCAGTGGGCGCATAGGCTATGCAAGCGATGGGGGAGACAAAGGTCATAGGTCAAGGCAGTTAGTCAGAGAAACGGGGCAAGAAGGAGCAAAGGCTGGATGGGGGCAGCTGGATTATTAACTGGGGTAAAGTATAACTGTAAGGGTGAGAGAGTCAGTACCACTGACCTGCGGGAGCATGTGGTGCGTCGGCTGATGCGGATGGGGCAGGGGCTGGTGGAGCCGGGCTCGTGGCTGGAGCACAGTGGGGCTGTACATCACGGTGCTGCGGTCGGGGTTCAGGGGGGGCTGTCCTGCTGGATCAGACCATGTGTTACTCAGGGGCCCCCTTCCCAAACGGTGAAAAAAAGTAGCTTGGCATTTTCAAAGAACTAAGGCTGTTTACCTGAAGGGGGCGCTCACGTCCCAGTCACGTCTCACATAACCTTGTTTTATTTCCCATCAGATTTATCTCTCACACCTACAGGGTGTGGATAACTGAGCCAATGACTGGCAAGAGCTTGGCTCACATGGCCCAGACTGCCCGGTGCCAACAGGGATGCCAGACAAGCCAGTCTGGCATGTGGCCCACGAGGCTCATCGGTACGATCATCCGCCTGCCCAGAGAACACTTCCACTTCACTTCCAAGGACACTCCTCAAGGGAAATTTTGGGAGTTCCGACCGTACAGGAAATTTCACATTCGCCTTCAAAAAGGCCAATGAGCAATCATGCACTGCAGTTGATACCTGCATATGCTCCCCTTATCAGGCTGTGCCGCAAGTGCAGGCGCATTTTAAAGTGCTGCATCATCCTCGCCATTCCCTTACATTCAGGAGTGCAGACAGACTCTATTATTTCCAGGTGCCTTTTGGGGCTCCGTTCGGTTCTGAGTCCACATCTGATTAATCGATCGTTGTGGGGAGATATTGCTCTTCAAACACCCCAAACCCACCAGAGCCTCATTAACATACGGGCAGCATTCCTTATATGCTGGCTCGGCATCAGGTTCCCATACAACAAAATCAAACACTTTATAAAGAGTAACTCATGGGGTCAAAACCGCCCTCTATTAATCACTGTGGCATAGTGCTTTAGAGCTTAAAAATGAACACATAGGCACAGAGGCCGGACCCACATACCAACCTGTGTGCGGGTTCACCAGAACACTGCCAGGTGGCATCCCTGCTGGCTGAAGCAAATAGTAGCCAGTGCTAGCCGGAGCCACAGCCAGGCCGGGCCTGCCTTCCTCACAGCACACAGAGCCACCGGCACCGGGAGTGGGAAGTATGGCAGTCCGGCCCAGGATGGGGGCGGCCGGCAGCTGAGAGCGACAGAGCGACCCCGTGGATGACCCTATACTACCAGAAGACTCTGAACCTGCAGAAAGAGTAATGAGAAAGTGTTTAGACACACACACACGGACGGACAAGCGGATAGAAAGACACAGACATGCACAAGACACACAGCAGAGACACATAAACAGCTCACATATTCCTATCATTGTGGGGATGATCCATTAATTTCTATAGGACTTACCCTAATTCTAACTAAGATAATCCTATCCATTACCCAGCCCTAACCTTAAAGGGGAAGTTCACACCAAAACTGGAAAAAAGATGTTTTAGAGGGGATTTGGTGCTGTCTACCTGTCTAGGTTGTCCTGTTGGGAGCCTAGTTTTTGAGATATCGGCCATAGAAATATCAGGTTTCTCTCAAATATAATAGGACTGAATGGCATTATTCTTACTGTGATGAATAAAGTGCCAGAGAAATATATTTGAAAAATTCGACAGCAACGTCTCTTGCCAGAAATAATTACCCGGTTACTCATGATAATCCATGGACTTTGTAGAGAGCAGTTTAATGTAGGAATGATTTTCTTCTACCAAACTCCACACACCAATCATATCGTTGCGCAAAAGACATCCCATCGCACGAGCATCCCAGGGATATCTTATGGCAGTGAGAGAGGAACCCAACTTTTCTATGGCCAATATCTCCAAAACTAGGCATCTCCCAGCAGAACAACCTAGATGGATATACAGTACTAAAGCCCCTCTATAAAACTTATCTTTTTCAGTTTTGGGGTGAACACAGGGGTCACCTGAGAGCTACCGGACATGATTTCAGGAACGAGGGTAAGAATTCCAATTATGACATTTTACTCAATAAAGAGATGCTTTTGTCGAAGGCAGTGTACACTTTTTTGAGAAAGGGCCTTGCTCAGGCGCCCAACAGTGACATCACTCTGAGGACCCTGGGATTCGACCCGGTGACCCGCCAATCATACGCAGAGCATCCTAATCCATGGAGCTACACACTCCATGTGGGCAGCTTCAGACCAGCTGCACTTTGGCTGGGGCCAGGCTCCGGGGAGTGTGCGGGTTGGTAGAGAAGCCTGTGTGACAGCTACAGAGCGTCACGCGGAGGTGGGGCGGAATGTGGGGGCGGGGGCACTCGCCTGTCTTGGAGAGCCGGCCGGCACCCCTGCTGCTGCCTGAGCTGTCACCCCGGATCAGTACCGAGATGCCACTGAAGCTGCCGGCCTTGGTCATGGCCGGCTTCAGAATGCGGCCCGAACTGTCGGAGTCCGTACTGCTCCAGGGCCGCAGCTCTGAGTACCGAGGCTCATTTTCGGAGCTGCTCTGCCGGCTGCTGGCCGACCGTCCGTCCTTCAGCCTGCCGGGGGGGCGCCACCTCCGTTAGCAGAGATACGACCATACCACCCCCCACCCCCGGCACCGGTAGCCAAACTCAAACATGGAGAATACCTAAAAATCTGGCGTCTCTGTTGCGTGCCGTTAGTGATTTCATTCTCCTGGATCCTGTGGCCAGGACAGAAAGAGCGCAGATTCACACCAAAGACCCCTTCCACCGGAAAGAGCACCACACTGAGGTTCCCACATACCTCCTGTCTAGTGGGAAGGCCTCGGTACCCTGTAGATCAAAGAGCGTTGAGAGCACACATTATGCACAGTAAATATGCAGGACATTTTTTGCTCTGCATTCAGAAAACCAGGCGGCATTTTACTGCTACGCTCAGTGCGGTCGCTCAGTCGTCCTGACTGCCTCTTCACAAAGCATGGTGATGTAACACGCCTATGTCGGCAACTCACATCTTGTGCGAATATCCTGTCTCTTGCCCGCTGGTACTCCTCCTCACGCTCCTCTATGGATTTGCTTCTGCGGTCGTCCTTTAGCCGCATGCGCATCTACAACAGGCAGTGCCCCCATGAGCATAGGAGGACACAGTGCAGCCTATTCCGGGCCCCACCCCACTGAGGAGGCACCACCTACCATGCCGTCGTCCCGGTCGAGGCTGGCATTGTCCCTCTTGAGGATGTACCGCTTCTGGAAGTCATCGGTCTTATCATCTTTGATGTGCTCTGAAAACTTTTGATCAGGTCTATGAAAAAGAAAAAAAATAATCAAATAATGTAAACAACTAAATGTTTACTTAAATGAATTTTTCATGCTATGAATGACAGAATATCCTGAGTTCCATTAATGTGATAGTGTTGACAGTAATGCACAAGCAGTTCACGGATAATCCCAAAGAAGGAACTCACATTCGGGTACTGCTGGTTTTATTGATGATGACAGACTTCCCTGTTGGGTCCACGTTGTGCTCTAACCCGAAGTAGGCGGCCACCCTGTGCAACAGCATCCTGTGGTACGATGTCATAGGGGGGAATTTCCTCCTCTGGCTTCTGGAAAACATGGATGGCTTTGTGACTATGAGCCTGCTACTACAACCACAGATGTGAAATTCACTTGGACAAGCTGCTGCTGAAATAAGTGATGCCAGATATCATTTAATGGTTTACTCTTTACTGATGATGGTGGACATTGTTTAATTTCTAACTCGTTACTGATGATGGCGGACATTTAATGGCTCGCTTGTTACTGATGAGGTCGGACATCATTTAATGGCTCGCTTGTTACTGATGAGGTCGGACATCATTTAATGGCTTACTCGTTACTGATGAGGTCGGACATCATTTAATGGCTTACTCGTTACCGATGACGGCAGACATCATTTAATGGCTTACTCGTTACCGATGACGGCAGACATCGTTTAATGGCTTAGTCGTTGATGAT